CTTCCCTCTGCTCTGGAGTCCTTGAGCCTGAGGGGTCCCCTTCTTGCTCAGAAGTAGAGCTTTCTGGACACATGCCGGTGACTTTTCTCTCTGGACCAGAGATGCCCTTGGACTCGTCTTCAGCGGTTCTTGTGTGTCTGTCTGAAGGCTCGTCTTCAGAGCCTTTCTGGGAGAGCTGAGAGCACTTCCCCAGAGACGACGCGCTGGAGGAGGAGAGGCCTGCTGTCGGGCCTGACCTTTGGCGGGGGGTGTCTGCACCAGGGGCTGGGGACAGTGTGGGCCTCCCCTCCCAGTCTGGGCTGCCATTTCCAGAAGCCTCACCCCACTGGCTGTCCGCCGGGCCAGCCTGAGGGCCCCCTTCTTCCTCATCCCCGTGTCCCTCTCCTGACTTGGGCTGTGGCTCCCCTTCAGCTTCCTGGGCCTCTGCGGGGTCGGCGCCAGCATTCTGTCCTCCCAGACTTTGGTCACCTCCTCCCGAGGCGTCGCCCTCCAGAGTGTCCTCAGCCCCAGAGCCCACCCCCGAGTTTTCTTCCTTCCCACCCACGCCCCGCTCCTCCATCTCTGGCCCCTCTGGGTCGCTGCCTCCACAGGTATCTGTTTGCCCCTCTCTCTTCTGAGCAGCTGCCTCCTCCCCTGCCCCCTGGGGGTCTTCGTCTCTGTCCAGGGTTCGACTGCCCTCAGCCTCGCCCCTCTCCGCCACCCCAGGGCCCTGGCCTGAGCCCAGCTCCAGGCCTCCGTCAGCTCCCTGGATGGCACCTGTCCCAGAGGGGTCCCTCTGAAGGGGCTCCATCTCCCTCTTTGCAGGAGCAGCCTCTTTGGTCTCCAAGTGCACACACCCTCCTTTCTTCTTCTGCAGAATCTGCTGCAGATCAAAGGCCTCTCTGATGGGCGTGCTGGCCACCCCCACCTTGTCTCTCAGGGAGGCTGGAACCACTTTCTTCCTCACGCAGGCCTCGCAGGGACAGAACTCGTCCCTCCCCGCCTCCTCCTCCAGCCGGGCCCCCAGGGCTGCGCTGAGGGCTGGCGCGTCCTCCAGGGAGAAGGAGGGCGGCCCCCAGCCCCGCATCTGCTCAGAGAAGGCCGAGAGGTCGCGCAGACCCCGGAGGCGGCGTCGGCGCTGCTCTGCCTGCGGGGACACCTCCCACTGGAGGGCCTCCCTGGGCGGCCCGGGCACCGTGGCCCCCGCCCGGCTCTGGACCTTACGGAGCTCCTTCTCCACACTGTCCTGCAGCCGCTGGCCCACGTCCTGCTGCAGCTCAGCCACCATCTGGTCCAGCAGGTCGTTGCTCGGCAGGTCCCAGCGGGCGCGGAGCTCGGCCGTGGCACTGGCGAGGTGGGCCATGAAGGCCTTCTCCATCTTCTTCAGCAACCTGGACACCCAGAGCGGGTCAGGCCCCAGAGACCCTCTGCGAGGTGTAGGAGGGCCTGTCTCCCCAGCCCCCTGGGGGAGCGCTGCCTGGGTTTGCCCACAGCCTGTCTCAGTTGCTTTGGGCAACTTCTCTAAAGTGAGCTCAGCTTTAGAGCCACTTTGAGCTGCAATGGCATCGAAGTCTCCCTCTCTGAGGCTCCTGGGGCCCTCTGTCGGGTTCTCTTTCCTCCCTGGAGGGCTTAGTGTGGCCGACGGAGGGTCTCCTTCCTCCTCTTCCTGCAGGCTCCGATCTTCCCGGGCTCCCATCCCATCCTGAGAGCCCATCCCTGACAATTCCTGTCCTGTGACACCTTCCTCTTCTGGAAACCCTTTGACACCCTCTTCTTGCAGCTCTGCACTTTCTTTCTCTTCTTTCATTTCCTCTAATTCTACCTTCTCTTCCTGCATCATGTTTTCAGCCCCCTGGTCCAGGTCACTGCCCAGCAGCTGCTCCTCGCTGTTTCTTTTTGCCGCATCCTTGCTGGTAGCACAAGCATCAGAATCACTCGGCTGATGGGTCCCCAGATCCTCTGGGTTTCCTGAGGTTCTGGAATCAGGTCTCTGGCAGGGGATGTTCAAGGGCAGCTCCATCCTCTCAGGGGCCGGGGTGCAGCCCACCACGCAGGGTCCGCTGCCATCCCCTGAGCCTCCGGAGCCACTGGCGACATCCACCCCAGAGGAGGACGTTGGTGTGAAGTCCTCAGTTGCAGCATGTGAACCTGGGCCTGGCAGAGCCTGGCCCCAGCCAAGCTCCCGGAGACCTGAGTCCAGCTCCTGGTGCCCGAGGCCACAGCCCGGCCACAGGGCCTGGAAGGTGCTCAGGAGCTCCTGGTACCTAGGAGAGTCCATGAACCTCCCTTTGCCAGCGGGAGACCCAAGGTGGTCGTCAAAGAAGCGGAGCCTGGCGAGGCAGGTGATGAGGGCCTGGGCCGAGCGGCTGAGCCTCTTGCCCTTGGAGCTAGACACTTCAGGGAGGCTGCTGGGCCGGCCCTGCTTGGAGCCCATCAGCGCCTTCATGATCTGTATAGAGGCAGAGACCCTACTGGGAAGCACGCTCTGGCCCATCCCGCAGTCTGCAGCCGCTCCTTTGCCTGTCCCCACCTCCATGGGGGCTCCTGAAACTCTGCTGCAAGGAAGGCTGTCTCCTGACTTGGGATCAGAACCACCAGGCACTGGGAGGGCTCCATCTGGTTCTGCTTTCTCACTGGCGGCTCCTTCCAGGGACGAGCCTCTGGCCTGAATTGGCCCTTCCAGGCCATCAGGGGAACGTTCATCACCAGGGTCCTCCGCAGGGCCTTCCGGGCCATGCCCAGCCCCATCCATGCTCTCATCCACTCTTTCATATTTCACGGGCCCCGGCTCCTCCGGAATGTTGCTCAGCCATGCACGGACCACGGCTTCAGGGGAGGCCCGTGGCAGGGCGCCCAGCACCAACCCGCCACCTTCCTCTTGCTCCCCGAGGCCTTCCCCTCCATCGGCAAACCTTCCTTGGAACATTCTCCTAAGCCTGGGATCACTGTGGGGACTGCCCCTTCTCACAGCTCTGACTGCTCTCCCCGCAGCCCCTGTCTGAGAGTCGGGGGGCCGAGGGCGCCACGCGCCCTGCTTTCCCTCCCTGACCTTGCCCCCTCCCAGCCTCCCATCAGCACCGTGGTCTCCAACACTGTGGCTGTGGCTGCATGAAGTGTGCTTCTTGCCCGCGGGCCGTGCGCTGGGGGGCGTGGGGCAGTACCTGCTGCACACCAAGCAGGCCTCAGAGGAGGGCCCCTGGCTGCCCCGAGGCTGGGAGGTCGGCAGCGGCCATGTCTTCCCACCGGGGGACCCGCAGGCTGGGGATACACTCATCTGTGAGCAGCAGCTGCCTCGGTGGGATCCCTGCCACCTCCCTCCCTCAGGCCACCCGACTGGCAGGACCAAGGGCCAGGAAGCCTTGGGACCATCACCCCCTGCCTTTCCGCCCAGGCCATCAGCTTGGGAGCTGAGAGAGCCGGATGTGTTGGAAGGTGTGGGAGCTGGTGAACACGCCCTGAACTCAGGGCCGGTCTCAGCGGAGGGTGAGTTCGGTGGGTAGAAGTTGGAAGCACAGTCGGAATTGCTCACAGGGGTGATGGGGGCGCTGCTGAGCCCTCGTGTGTCCTGGGAATGAAGAGAGGCCGAGAAGGGCGGCCCTGGGTCCCGGGAAGGCCGCTTCCTGGCGCTACGTGGGCTTTCAGAGAGGCCGGGCGCTGGGCCGTCTGGGCGGGCCCCGCCTCTGCTGGGTGTCCCCGGCACCGACTTGGACACAAGCGAGCCGAGTAGGCTGTGGGGGTCCCTTGAGCTGTGGCGCGGCCTGGGGCGGCCCCCCTGGGCCCCTCGGCTGGCGGAAGTGCCGGGTGAAGACAGACGGCTGGCTCTGCCCTCCTGCTTTCTGCTCCCGCCCGGGGCTGAGGCGCAGGCGGAAAGTGGGGAACGGCCTCCTGCATCGTCCCCAGGGCCAGCCCGGCCCAGAGCCAAGGGCAGCCTCAACCCAGACCCACTCCTGGCCAGGGGGATGCCTGCTGCCCTGTCCCCTCACCTCGGCCTGTGGGTCCTCGTTCCTCAGAGATGAGGGGCTCACGGTGGGGGGACTGCGTCCTCCCTGCTGGGTGGTCCCCCTGGAAGTCACGACCCTGCTCACCTTGCTGGGGCAGCCCGGGTGCAGCCCACCCCTTTCACTGGACTCCTCGTGGGACCCGGCACTCGCCGAGGAGTCAGAAAGAGGACCTGTGGGGCCTTGGGTCCCAGGTTTCAGGCAGCTGTGATGGTCCCTGCTGCCCGGTGCTGCTCCTCCACCTGGGCCCTCACCAGCCCTGGAGGCCAGATGTAGGTCACAGCTGCCCCCGCCATCCTCTAGGGACCTGGAACAGCAGGAAGAGTTTGGCTCTGAGCCTTCAGGGGCTCTGTCACTGGAGGCAGGGCTGATGCTGTCCTTGCTCCTTCTTTTCCTGGTGGCAACCTCTTGGCTCCGGGGGACCCTGGAGTGGGAGCCCTGGGTCGGCCCGGGCCTCCTCCGAGAGGCTGTCTGATCTCCCTGGGAGCCGTACAGGGGGTTCATCCAGATCTCGTATGGGGACCCTGGCTGCCACCGGCCACGGTCAAAGGCTCCCATGCCTCCTGTTTTGCAGGGCTCCAGTCCCTGGCCCCCAAGCTCTGTGGGGTCCCCAGGGTGGCCCTTCCACACACAGTGGGGGGGATCTGCCTCCCCCAGGACGGCACCCTCCCCACTGGCTGCCGTGAGAGTGCTCGCCCTCCTGACCCTCCTGGACCACAGGAGCGGGTCCTCCCCCAGCAAGTGGAAGCGGACTTTCATCTCCACAGACAGGCTGCCATCCTGGTTCATGCGGATGTTCTTCTCAATGTCATCACCAGCCACCAATGGGCCGAGCTGGACAGGCATGTCCCTGGGGTGCCTGTCAGGAGCAGGGCCCATGCAGGCGCCAGGTAGGGACACGGAGGGGTCGCTGAGCCCAGACCTCTCCGACAGCAAGGAAGACCGCCGCGGCCTGCTGCCTGGCCTGGACCGCGAGTGGATGATGCTCTGCTTGGCCTTTGGCCCCCAGCTCCCTGGTGCACGAGGAAGAGTGAGAGAAAAGAGGGAAAGACAGTGAGCTGCTGCAGGAGCTTCGGGCTGGGAGAATCCAGGCTGGTCGTGAGCCTTTCCCGGTCTGTACACCCTGCCACCTCCAAAACCAGCAGTAAGGACAGAAACTGTTCTAGAATGAACTTCCGCAGAGCTGCCAGGGGGTGAACCTGCAGAGCCTAGCAGGATGAACTTGACGTCTGAATTCGGCCTCACCCCGCCACTTCCTAGCTGTGCAGTCTTTGGCAGAGCCTCTTTCCTGAGCTGTAAAAGAGTCATGGTGTCTGGCTGGTTTGTTTCGAGGATGTGAGGCAGTGCCTCTAAAACTTCCTGCAGGGTTGCTGGCCCAGAGCAGGTTCTCAACAGACAGGGGAGCGGCTGCAGAGCAGCGGTGCCCAGAGCTAAGTCCTGGCCCTGCTTATACCCGCCCCCAGCCCAGGAAGCACAGTCAGTAAGCTGCCGCATACACACCTGATTGTAAACTGTAAAGTGCTTTGCAGTTATTAAAGGTGATTTATCATCTTAACCCTCATCAAGCTTTGGGGTTGATAATGCTTGCAAGGAAGGACCTGGACACACAATAGCAGGTCCTGAGAGCTAAGCTTGCCCCTCAGCCAAGAAAGAGAAGAAGACGGGGTCACTGGGGATAGAAAGACATGACCCCAAGAAAGAAAGAAGCCTCTTGGACTTTCTCACTTCCTCTCCTGAGCTAAAGCTTGGCAGGGTGGGGCTGGCGGAAGCCGAGCTGATGGCCAGCAGCAGAGCAGACCCCCTCGAGTCCATCTGGGCAGGAGATGGTTTTGCCAAGCCCTGCTCCCCTGTCAGCACCAAATGAGACTGGGGCTCCCCTAGAGAAGGTGCTGTGGCTGGTGGTTTGTGCCTCCAGCCCCTGGCGTGTGGCGGTCACTGGGACCACTGTTGTCATTCTCTTAACAGACTTTCACAAGGGCATTACTTTGTTTAGTCACCCAAGTCTGTCCACTGTCACTTCAGTAATTTCGCTGAAACTTTAACTCTGCATGTATCAATATTGTGCTTTTGAAATAATGTGTTTTTCTTTTTTTAAAATAACAAAGGCTACCTCTGGCACTTAAGACTTCTCGGCTATACACGTGGACCAATGGATGATTGATAGTTATCATTTGTTTTGGTCTGTTTGGCCTCCACTGTTGCCTAAGAGAGTCATGACTCTTGAAAGATGCAAATGCCACACACTCAGGGTCCATTGCCTCTATAATGTTATGTCCAGCATGGTCCTTAATAAAGTTTATTTTAGATCCTAGAAGCTTAGGGTTCAAGATCTCCTAATCCCTGTTCTCTTTAAATTCCAAACTCCCCTCTCTCCTCTCCTAGTCAAATGTTCAACCCAGTTAAAGCTGATAGTGATGACAAGGAGGAAGAGGCAAGACAGACCGCAAAACAATCGGGATGCCCAAGAACTGGGGCCAAAGGCAGGTTTCCTAAATTATTTAAAAAGGAAACCTGTCCAACCCTACTGAACCTCCACTCAGTGGCAAATAAGATTGGGGATACTCCAAAACGAACTCACCATATTTGTTCCTTGAAGTCTGCCCAGACAAAGTTTCAGTTCCATTCCTTCTGACGTCTTCCATTGCCAGAGGTCTGAAGGGCTCATGGCCGGCGCACACCAGCACCGGCGGGTCGCACAGCAGACCCTTCAGAGAGTCCACCTGAGGAGGGAGAGAGTTGAGTCAGGAGGCCTGGTCTGCAGGAACCCCCTCTGCCCAGCGAGACGGAGGGTTTCAGTGTTGGATTATCGAGGGGAAACAGGGTGCTGTTGTTATGCCATGGTGTCAAGGAGGAGGTCACATGTTGCCCAGGGAACCCCTTGGGATGGCTTCTGTGGTTGCCACATTCAGTGGTAGAAGTGACCACAAGATCACAGCAGCCCCATTTAGGAAGGATTTCCAAGGACCACAGGAATAATGACCCAGTCACTCCATCAGGTCCATAACCACAGCCAGGTGTAGGGCAACGGGAACCTGGAATGGACAGTGGGAGGAACTTAATACCAACACTAGCCTTGCAGTAAATACTCGAATTTTCTTCACAGCTCCGCTAGGCGTATATGTAAACCAATTTCCCATATTTTTGCCCCTGCTTTCCTATAATGCTTTATATAAAGTAAATTGGTGGTTGTGGACTTGAGAGTTAAATCTTAAGTTAGAGGCTATAAAGGTGGGATTGTGACTAGGCTGGAGGATGGCTGGTGCAGCACTGACATGACTTTGGGGAGCAGGTGACTATGTCTCCACTGTAGGAGGGATGGTTCCACTCTTAGCTGGGAACACGCTGCAGCAGCTGCTGTTCAAATTTAAGGACTGGCAGAATGGTGTATACAGATGTCACGTAGCCACAGGACTAGACTGTGGGAGATTGTGTGGATTAGGTCAATCAACCTCCATCTTCCAGCCCATCCGCCTTTGGTTACATTCATGTTCTGCAAAACCCACAAAGGCAAAACTCACATCCCCTAGCCTTCTTTACAGTTACGCTGCATGTGGATCACACTGTCCATCAAGCAGCTCAGGACTGGGAAGGCAGGAGGGGTAGACACCACCGCTTCTCCTTCTGGTTGTTGTTGCAAAGCAAGTCTGTGGGTAACGAGAGATCATGGCAGCTCGGGCTGCAGTGGCCAGAGCCGGCGCCCTGATGCTGCTGGGCGTCGAGATGCAGCCGTGGCAGCGTCCTGGGCCGGCTTTGTGAGCCTGGGTTCCACCACAGGGAAGTGATCCTGAGCTCAGTAACCACATCGGCTTCAGGCCGAGGTGGCAGTTTTCTGCAGGATGCTAGGCACCATACTGCAGACCCCGCATGGGGTTCACTCCAGCTTTCCCAAGATCAGGAAGCCCCCTGATGCCCTGTGTTAAATTGCTTCCTGCTGAAGGTTCTTGGAGAAGTTTCTGTTTCCTACACTGAACTCTCACCCGTATTAAGAGGGTTGGATAAGAAAATAATCAAAGTGTGCAAGCCATAGGGTACTCAGCACTCGCTAAATGGTAGCTAAAAGCATGAATAACCATCGTGCGTGTGTTTAACCAACTGAATGTCTGCACTCTCTTCACTTCTAATGTGTAGCAGAAGCAATCAGTGCCTCTTATTAAGGCATAACTCCCCCATTCCAGCTAAGGGCCTTGAGCTGAGGTCCAGAGAACTTCGTAAGGAAATGTCATACTCAGCAGCCTACCTTCTTCCCACTGGTCGTGTACACCTGCTTCACGGTAAAGTGCAGAAGATCCGAGGCTTTGCTGAGAAAGGCTGACAAGTTCCTGGTGTTTCTGTGACTGAGCACCACGGTCTGCTGGAGCCGAGGGTCCCCGTTCTTGACCAGCGTTATCCTCCTGGGGGTTTTGAGACTTTTGCAGGAAGAGGATGTTCCTGGCGCCTCATAGCGTCCTTCGAAATCTCGTGACGGCTGAGCGGGAGGGCTTCTCCCCGGGGGCCGACCTGGCCCACTGGGGGTCTTGGGGGGCTTCTTATCGGAGCAGAGGTAGCAGCCACCATCCTGCAGCTGCTCCAGGGCGCTGAGGCCGTGCAGGCCGCGGGGCGTGGTGACGGAGCGCACCCCGAAGGAGAGAGGCACGCGCTGGGAGAGCTCATCCATCAGGGCGCCAAAGCTCCTGAAGACCCGCTGGTGAACAGCCAGGCGAACCCCGGCAAACCGGGGGTCCCCTCGCTTGAGGAAGGTTATCTTCTTGGCTGGCGTGACCTGGGTGACCGAGGAGATCCGGGCCACAGAAGGCAGGAGGCACGCAGGGTGGCCGGGGGCCTGGGCATCCCTCTGGATGCTGTGCATGGTCGGGGGGACCAGGCAGCTGTAACAGATCAAAGTAAGGCGAGGGTCAGAGAGCCACCCGCGGGGTTTTGCGTTTTCTCTCTCCCCTTGTTACAGAGGTGCTCCCTGCCCACCCCAAATTTGCTCCACTCAAGCGTGTAGAGGCAGGTTCATTCATTTTGACGAATAGAAAAGAGGCCAAGCATCTGGCATCAAACAGATCTGAGTTCAAATCCCACCATCTCCACCTCCCACTTCCTGCCTGTGTGACCCAGGAGGTTCACGATGTAATCTGCTCTGCTTAAATGCAGCCACACTCGTCTGCACGGGGTTTATAAGGAGTCAATGAATTCATGCTACAGAGCACCTGGCAAAGAGCGAGCATCCAAAAAACCTTTATTCCTTCCCATCCTCTTGCTGTTTCTCTTACCCTCTCCTCCCACCTGGACCTCCTTTGAACACTGTCGAATTTATCTCCTAAGGAGGTGGGTGAATAAAGGGACGTGAAAACGCCAGGCAAGCAGCCAGGGACACAGACACCCGGCCCAGTCTCTCAGAGCCAAGTCTCCTGCGTGACGGTGGGGGCATCCCAGCTCTCTGCACTCACACCCTCCAGCTGCCGGGTGGGAGGGCTGGAGCAGAGTCCCTCATCCCAAACCCCTCAGGGCTCGCATGCAGACAAGGAGATGTGTGACTCAAAGAAGATGCCACCATTTGACGCTGTGTGTTTTCTCCATTGTATAGGGAGGTTGGCTTTAATATCAAAAGAATGTGCCCTCCTGCATTCTTCCAAAGTCTTTTTGGTTCACGTGTGATGAACCAACCCTGTGGGTAGGTACCGCAGCCCACTGCCACTGACACGGGAGAGAGGGCGTCAGGCCAGCCGTGTAGGGTCAAGGCTATTCGTCCAACTGTTGGCATCTGTTCCTGCCATGGTGGGGCCTTTTGCCTCACCCAGGACTCCTGCGAAAGCCTGCCGCAGCTCTTCCTGCCCAGGTCACCATGTGGCGCTCCATTCTGTGCCCCCGCCGGACAAGCTGTCCCCAACTCCAGCTCTTCCCAGACCTTTTCTGTGCCGCAAGCCCCTCAGGTGGTTTGCAGTGGCTGCAGAAAAAGCCCAGGACCTCACGACCCACGGCCTCTCGGATTTGCTCCTGCCACCCCGCTGGGCCTCGGCTCTGGCCTCTTTCCTGCAGGAATTCTCCTCTCTGACCAGGCTGCCTGACCCAGGGGCTCTCCCTGCAGGGTGGACCCATCCTTCTGCACCCTGCTTGGCTTCTCCCCTTTGTGGAGGCTTCCTCAGCCCCCCATTCTGGGGTAACCGCTTTTCAGCCTGGCTCCCTGACATTTCCCACATCCTGGGCCTGTATCCTTCCTGGCCAACTACCCCAAGGCATGGGGTGCAGAACCCATACTCCCCGGGGCCCCAGCCCCATGCTTGGCACACAGCAGGGGCCCAGGAAACACCCCTGACTGATAACACGGGTACTTCCCAGAGCCTCACAGCAGAGACCGGCCTGCCTGCCAGTCGGCTGCCACGCAATCAGGTGAGGAATCTCCTCCGATTACGTGGGGCTCAGACCCTGGCAGGACCCGCGTTACTGCGCCCACTGCAGTGACCATGGTCTCCCGTGATGCAGCCGCCAGCCCCACCCACGGCCCGGCCAGCACCCAAGGCTCCCTTCATACCGTTACTCACCGCTTACCCCCATTTGTCTTTGGGGAAAGAACTCTTGTCTCATTTTCAAAATCTTGGGGTGCAAAGAGGCCTTATAATCTTCTCTCCTCTCCGGCACAAACTTTATAATTAGCTTCCTCAGCCTCCTCCCTCCCAGCTAAGCCCTCTAAGCTGCTTTCTTATTCTCCCGCTAACGTCCCCGCAGCGGCTGCGCGCTGCTCCTGGGCCGTGCCTTCCCGGGGGACTGCTCTCTTCCCCCTTGATTTTCAGTTTCACTTGTGACAATGAGCACCCTTCTTGGCCGTCACTGAGGGACTGAGAGGGGAAGGAAGGCTCACAGTGTCCCCTAGAGTCACCGTGTCCCCCAGCATCACCATGTCCCCAATGTCACTATGTCCCCCAGGGTCATCATGTCTTCCAGTATCCCCGTGTTCCCCGCATCACTGTGTCCCCCAATGTCACTGTCCCTCTCAGCGTCACCATGTCTCCCAGTGTCACCATGTCCTTTACTGTCACCATGTCCTTATAATCACCATGTCCCCCAGCATCACCATATCCCTCAATGTCACTTTGTCCTCCAGGGTCACTGTGCCCCTGAGGGTCACCGCATCCTCCAGTGCCACTATGGTGTCACTGTGTCTCCCAGTGTCCCCCATAATCACCATGCCCCCCAGCATCACTGCATTCCCCAGTGTCATGGGGTCCTTCAGTGTCACCATGTCCCCAACATCCCTGCTGCCTCCAAGGGCCGCAGCTCCTCACAGCCCACTTCTGAGCAGAGAGGGCTTCTCTAGCGCCTCCTGACAGCAGCTCTGCAGGAAAGGGGAGCCTGGCCTGGAGGGAAGGCAAAAGCCATCGGGGCCCCTTGAGAACCCAGGCCAAAGCGCCTCGTGGTATATTCAGTACACTTGAGAGCTGACGGCCCCTCTCCTCTGACATTCCTCTAGAAAATAATCTCTCTCTGAACTGGAATTCTCAATCTCCAAGTGGATTTTTGAAATAAAAAAGGAAAAGGCCCAAGGGACCCTAAGTACCAAAGATCAGGCTGTCACCAGCCAGGGTCCATCCTGAAGGCTCCTTCCTAGCGCGAGACCAAGCACACAGCCCCAGAGAAGTGAGGGAAGCTGCGGACCGCCCCTCCCTGCTGACATATCTGCACCCAGATAACAGACCATGTTCTGCACACACACACACAGACACACACACACACATATACACGTATACACACAGCCACACATACATGCACTGTGCACATTTACATGCACATCCACAGATACACACACAGAGAGAAGTTAGAACACTCAGGCCCCACGTGCAGGAGCTGATGGTGCAGGTGGCCTGGGCACATGGCCTATGCCGGGGAGGGCACGCAGGACTGCACACATCACTCAGCTCCTCAAGGGAAGACCAGGCGACCCCTTGCTCTCCAGCCCCATCAGCAGACACAAGCAGGGTCTGCATCCTCTGCAGGGTGAGTCACAGAATCATGACCTCCTCCTGCAGCCACAGGGAATGAAGAAGCAAACTGATTTTCCTTTTCAAAGAAGTTTAATGAACTTTTGATTCTTTCACCTTCAAAACGACCTGGCCCACACCAGGGGGCTCATTCACTTAATCACCCCTTCATTCACTTCTCTGTGTACCCAACAAAGATTTCTGAGCTTCTGTTGTGTGCCAGCCTCTATGCCGGGTCTTGGGAACACAAAGATTACTGAGATGTAGCACCCATCTTCAGAAACTTCATGTTTCAGTGTGACAAGTAGGCACATCATTAAAATGCAGCATAAGACATGTTCTGAAATACAGATACAGATATTATACACAGGCTGTGACTGAAAGCAGATTAAGGGGAATGTAAGTCAGGGAAGACTTTCTGGAGGAGGTGATGTGCAGCCTCCTGAGCTACAACCTAAAAGATAAACTTGGGGATTAGCCAGAGAAAGGGGAAGTTAGGACCTGCATGGCAAATAGATATGGCCTTGGTGCCAACTCTGACCCACCGAGTGGGCTGGAAGGATGGGCAGAGGACTTCCAGTGCCCAGACTTCCCATGTGCTGTGATCAGATAGCCAGGCTGCCATAACGTCTGGGCAGAGAAGGGCCACACAGTGCCTGACACTTCCCATCCCTGCTCTGCTTCCAGCATTCGGGGTGGGGGCGTGCATGCAAAAGTGCAGTGGGGAGAGAAAGCTTGGGCGTTCTGGAATGGCCTTCAATGGATGACATCCTGATGATGTAGGAGACCCCTCTAGGACAACCGGGAAAGTTACCGGGGAACAAGGACGACTGCACTGAAATAGAGCCCGAGGGACGATCCAGCAGAGGCTGAGAAGGAGGGGCCAGCAGGACCGGATGACCTGCGGATGGGCTGTGGGGGGCGCCGTGGGGAGGATGCGGTCCAGCGTGGCTCCTGGGTTTCGGGCTCAGGGACGCGGTACAAGGCGGTACTCTACTCCCCAGCGGGACAGCAGACAGAGGAGCAGTTTTGGAGGAAGGAGTGAGAGGCCGTGGGAAGGGCCGTCCTCTCGGCAGGAGCAGGGGGCTCTGCACCGGGTGCATTTGCCCGGCTGCGTTAAGGGGACTGACAAACAGCCCATGAGGATGGGACATCACAGACCCAGTATGATCATCTCTGGCCCAGGAACCTCAACAGCAGAACCCAAAGCCCTTCTCCCGCTGAAGTCTGAGAGGCTAATGGCTGGGAAAGCAAACTTGGGGGGCCCCTGCCTTAGATCCAAGAACAGGTGAGGATGAGGGGGCTGGTAACTGAGTCTGGAAAAACAGAGGAGAAATGAGAAGCGGGTGCCACTGCAAGCTCTTTACCTGGGCTGCCCCAGTTTCAGCTCTGAAGGGCCCCGTGCTGGGACCCCACTCACCCCTGGCACCTCCTGTCCCCAGCTAACCAGCTGCCTTCAGTGTGGGGCCCAGGCAGCTTCCCAGGATCGAGTGGCCTCTTCCTGGCACTGGCCCTGCTGGCAGTGAGGCCAAGATAAGCAGTTTGCCTCATGGAGCCAGAAAAAGAGGCCGCCATGAAGGATGGGAAACCAAGTCTTAACAGCCTGGCTGAGCCCCTCCATGCGGTGAAGCCTGAACCCAGAGCCCAACGGAAAACTGGACTCTGCAGGTCCATGAGGCAACAATTCTCTCCTTAGCTTAACTGATCTGCGTTGGGGGTTTGTCATTTGAAACAGACAGGATCACAGATCCATCAGGGAGCTGCGCGGTGAGGGTTCGCTCTTTCCCAGATTCTGAAGCTGGATTTCTGAGTTAGGAGGACCCCTGGGAGCAGGCGGCGGGGCGCAGAGGCTCCTCTCAGTCCCCAGCCCCCGATTTGTCCCTGATGGGGGACAACCGTCTCACTCCCATCTGGCCGGGAGGGAGGGATGGAGGAAGTAGAACACAGGCCCCGGCCCTCAGAGGTGGGACCAAGGATTACTGGTCAGCTGACTTGTAAAGTCGAATCTATCCAGTTTTCCCTCATCGCTTTCCTTCTTTCAGCATCATGAGGTTTCTCTCGCGGACATAGAAAACAAACTGGTTACCGGGGGAAAGGGGTGGGGGGAGGGACAGACTGGGCATCTGGGACTCACGGATACACAGTCCTGCATGTGAAGTGGGTAAGGAGCAAGGACCTACTGCGGAGCACAGGGAACTATATTCAATTCCTTGTCATGAGCCGAAAGGAAAAGAAACTGAAAAATAAATTTGTATGTATGGATATGTATAACTGCCGTACACCTGAAACAAACATTGTAAATCTACTTCACTTCAACAAAAAATAAGAATAAGAATAATAAAAAAATAATGAGCCATCTCTCCCTAAGCAGGGCTGGGAGAGGACTTGACCTCCTTAACAAGACAAACTAGATCGGCTCCCATGCTGGGCCCAGACTGAGGGTCCATTTAGCACCTCTTTGCCCTGAACAGAACCAGGCAGGCCACGTGATCAGGACCCCCCCCCAACAGTAGAGAGAGGACAGCCCTTCGCTCACTCACATTCACCGCAAGACAAGGCTATGAAGGAGGGGAGCTGAGCTTTCCGGGTGCGAGGAAGAGCTGGGGAGAAGGCTGCAGAGCTGGGGGACAGCTGGGGACCAGGTCTCCACACTCGGCTCCCAGCCTGGCTCACGTGGGGGACAGGTGTCGGGGGGGAACTGTCTTGAGAAGGGGGTCCCTCCTGCAGCAGAGGGCTTCTGCCCAGCTGGCCCGTGGCTGAGCTCGAAAGGAGACCTCCTTTCAGACCCCTTCACCCTTCTCCCACAGGGACGGGGCCTCAAGGCATGCTGGGCAGCTGCTCTCATGTGCAGCTTTCCTGAACCACCTGGGTTCCGCGGGGTGGGGAGAGGCCCAGGCCAGGGCTTAGAGGCTTCCTGTTGAGCTGCGGTCGGAGGTCTTGATCAGCACAGAGATGCGCGGGGGTGTGCAGATCACTAGTGCTAAATGAGTCCCGGCAAAACCCAGGCCCACAGCACCAGTCCTAACCATGATGGGGTTGGTTTAGGGCAGCAAAGGATGGGGGGGATGCCAGGGGATTTCAGGAGGAAGCAGAGGAGGCATTCCAGCTGCGAGTGGGTGGGGGAGGGAAGAGGAGAAAAACAGATGAAGGGGCAAAAGGAGAAAAAAACAGAAGTTACAGGAAATGCTCCAAAAGGTGACAGCCCAGGTGGAGGAATTGGACTGGGTAAGCCTGCAGGGAGGAAAGAGTGCCGACGGGCTGGAGGCGGGCGCAGGCAGCAAGAGTGATGGGTTCAGGAAGTGAATAAATAGGATGAGAGCAGTCCGCTGGCAGGATGGAGGCTGGGCTTTGCAGAAGAAAAACTTCCGGTGGCAAAGTCACCAAAGCAGACCTTAGAGGGAGTTAGAGGGAAGGGGCGGGGCGGGGAGGGCGGGGAGGGCTGGGGCCGAAACCTTGAAGGTTGATTGACTGATATCACACGTGAGCAGCGGAAAGGAGCCAGGATGCTGTGAACAGTACACGTCCCCAAGGAAAACTGCAGTCACACGCAGCCCCCAGGGAGAACAAGCACCGCCTTCAGTCCGCAGACCAGCAGCTAAGCCCCCTCGTGGAGCCTTCCAGCGCTGCACGGGTCTACACAATCCGTACGGGATCTGGAGCCACTTTCAACACTACCTTTCAGTGACTTGAATTTGCCAAGGAGCACCATTATTTTACGAGCCAAGAAG